GATTGCGCTGTCCGAGGGGGTACAAGTTCAAATGTTGGAAGTTCTTTTAAAAAGGGAGATTCACAGAAGAGAGTGGATGACAAAGACAAACTTTGGTGCACTCACTGCCAAAAGTCCAGGCACATTAGAGACACATGTTGGGATCTTCATGGCAAGCCGAAATGGGCTAAGAAATTGAGTAAGAAGTCTGATGCGAGTAAGAAGCCAACCCAGTAGAGTCAAAATATATATAACTCATCAAATGTGGCATCTCAAGAGACTAGTCCCATGGTACCCCAAGAGCGACACTCTGGTTCTGACCCCAAGGAAGAGATCATCAACTCCTTTCGTGACCACTTGGAATTATATGGTAGGACACTTCGCCAAATGAATTTTGGCCCTACTCCTTCCTCCTTTGTGTCTACATCAGGTAACACTGCCACTGCCTTCCGTGTGTCATCTCATACATCTGATTCCCCTTGGATAATCGACTCTGGAGCCTCAAACCACATGACTGGTAAGTTAAATTTATTTCAGGCATATAACCTCCTTTCTGGGAGAGATAAGGTGAGACTGGCTGATGGGTCTTATTCCACCATAGCTGGTCAAGGAACCATCTCCCTTCCTCTTGGTCTTGCTCTCTCTAATGTGTTTCATGTTCCTAAATTACCTATCAATTTACTTTCCATTAGTAGTATTACTCATTCCTTTAATTGTTCAGTGACCTTCTTTCCTTCGTGTGTATTTCATGCCTACTTGTGGCATAATCGTCTTGGTCACCTTTCGTTTGAGTCTTTAAAACTTATGTTTTTCGAGTTGTTTAAGACTTTGTTAGTTAGTAAATTGCAGTGTCATACATGCCAATTGAGCAAACATTGTAGAAATTCCTTTCCTTTAAGAAATAAAAAATCTTAATTTCCTTTTCATATTGTCTATTTTGATGTTTGGGGCCCTATTTCTCTACCTACTGAGACTGGATATAAATATTTCATTACTTTGATCGATGACTACTCTAGATATACTTGGGTGTATCCTATGCCATCTAGAGTTGAAGTGCCAAAAATTGTGAAAAACTTTTAACGAATGGTTTTCACTCAATTTCAAACTGAAATTCACATTTTCTAGTTGGACAATGCAAAATTGTACTTCCATAGTGATCTCACGGAGTTCTTTGCTTCGTGTGGATCTCTTCATCGAAGCTCTTGTGCCAGGACACCTCAACAAAACGGTGCTGCTGAAAGGAAAAATCGTCATCTACTTGAGGTAGCTCGTGGTTTATTACTTCATATGAATGTTCCGAAACGTTTTTGGATGGATGTTGTTATGTGTGCTGCATATATCATCAATCGTATGCCATCTCGGTTACTAAAGTATAAGGCCCCACATTAACTCTTGTTTCCTACAGCTCCGTTGTCTCCCATTCCAATGTGTGTCTTTGGGTGTCGTTGCTTCGTTCATGACTTTTCTCCTATTCGCTGTAAACTCGACCCCCGTGCCACTCCTTGTGTTTTTCTTGGTTATCCGTTATCTCAAAAGAGTTACCGCTGCAATGATCCTTCTTCACGCAAGTACTATGTCTCCATGGATGTATCGTTCTTTGAGAGTCAACCCTTCTTCTCGGTTTCTACTTAGGGGAAGTGGAGGGTTAAGGAGAAACACACTCAGGTTCAATTACCTCCTCTTCCTAACCCTTCTCCATTTCGGGTCTTTCTTCGCCGCCATAAGAGCCAACAGAGTTCAAGAGCCGTGGAACCTGAAACTATGCAACCAATATCATCGGATTCTCCAGAGGTAGATCCTCCTCATCAGCCAGGTACACTTGTTCCCATTGATATGCCTGAATCTCTTAACATTGATCCTCCTGTTGTTAATGATCTTGATGTTCCTTTTGCTAAGAGAAAGGGTGTTAGGTCTTGTACTACTAATCATCCTATCTCTCACTTTGTGTCCTATGATCATATTTCACCTTCATACTGTGCATTCCTTTCCTCTATTGACAGTGTCTCTGTTCCTAAGAATGTGGCAGAAGCTTTATCCAAACCTGAATGGACAGATGCAATGAAGGAAGAGATTAATGCCTTACACAAAAATGGCACTTGGGAGTTAGTGGATCTTTCTGAAGGGAAGGAATCAGTGGGTTGCAAGTGGGTATTCACAGTAAAGCATAGAGCTGATGGTTCAGTAGAAAGATATAAAGCTAGACTGGTGGCCAAAGGATTTACACAAGTGTATGGAGTAGACTATGCAGAGACCTTTGCTCCAGTAGCCAAGATGAATTCAATTAGAATCCTCCTCTCACTGGCAGCTAACCTTGATTGGGAACTTCATCAGTTGGATATCAAGAATGCATTCTTGAATGGTGACCTAGTGGAAGAAGTTTACATGACTCAACCTCCAGGTTTCTGTGCCAAAGGTAGTGAGGAGAAGGTGTGCAAGTTAAAAAAATCTTTATATGGGTTGAAGCAATCACCTCGGGCCTGGTTTAGTAGGTTTCAGTTAGCAGTGCAATAGATGGGATTCAGACATTGCTAGTCAGATCATACTTTATTTGTGAAAAAAGGTGGAGGGAAAATTGCTGCTTTAATTGTCTATATTGATGACATAGTAATCGCAGGAGACTGGAAGACTAAAATATAGAAGCTAAAGAAATTCCTAGCCACTCAATTTGAGGTGAAAGATCTAGGCCCCTTACGTTATTTTCTTGGAATTGAAGTTGCCCACTCAAAAAGGGGCATCTTTATTTCCCAAAGAAAATATGTACTAGATCTATTAGAGGATACAGGCAAGTTGGGAGTGAAACCAATTGATTCACCCATTGAACCCAACCATCAGCTAGGAGGCAGTCAGGGGGAGTGTTTAAAGATGCAAAGAAGTTCCAAAGACTTGTAAGGAGACTCTAATATTTGTCTATGGCCATACCTGATATTGCCTATGCAGTGGGTGTTCTTAGTCAATTCATGCATAATCCCAGGACAACTCACTTTGAATCTGTAGAAAGAATCCTTAAATACCTCAAGTTCTCAGGAGCTGGTTTGCTTTTCTAGAAACATGGGCATTTGAAAGTGGAGGTGTATACAAATGCTGATTGGGCAGGGGCAATCGATGACAGAAAATCTACCAGTGGGTATTGTACCTTTGTGGGAGGAAACCTAGTCACTTGGAGAAGTAAGAAGCAAAGTGTGGTGGCTAGATCCAGTGCTGAGGCAGAATATAGAGCCATGTCTCATGGAGTTGTTGAAATGATGTGGACAAAAAATTTGTTAGGGGAGTTGGGTTTTGCAGTTAACAAACCTATGTCACTCTACTGTGACAACAAGGCTGCTATCAACATTGCTGCTAACACAGTCTTCCATGATAGAACAAAACATATTGAAGTGGACAAGCATTTATTAGAGAAAAACTTGTGAGCGGAGAAGTGTGCTCTCCTTATGTTAGTTCAGAGGAACAACTTGCAGACATCTTCACCAAGGGCCTTCAACACATGCGGCATAATAATTTGTGTGACAAGTTGGGCATTATTGACATCCATGTCCCAACTTGAGGGGGAGTGTTGGAATGTTAATTTTATTTGTTATGTTTGTATTCTGCTGAGTTAGGGTCCATTTGGACAAATTAAATCAGTTTTTTCTTTTGTTTTTTATGCTGTAACTTAAGTAGGGGCATAAGGGTCCTTTCCCTTCTAATTATGGTCGCCCTATATATATTAATATAAGCTGGCGCCACCAGCACTGTAGCAGACTCCAAATCTCTCTCTTCTTTTCTCTTCCTCTTCCCTTTTCCTACCTTTCTTCTCCTCTGTTCGGCTGTTAATAATCTACTAATAAAGTGGGATATTGTGTCCAGAAGCAAGGTTGAGGGGGTCTAGGTTTGGGTAGAGTTGTCTAGGTTTTGGTCTCCAAGCTCCCCTGCAGAAAAAAATTTCTTCCTCTCCAGTTTTGTGTGGAACTAAGAAAGCAAAATTGGTTTGGTTGTGTAATGCCTTTGCAGTCTGTTGGGAACTTTGGAAAGAAAGGAACAAAAGAATTTCTGAAGACAAATCAAGAAGTAAAGAAGTGATTTCTTCAGTTATAGGGAAGAGAATCTTGGATCGGATATTGATTCTTCCAGAATTTTCAGATCTCTCAACAGCTTCTTTTGGGGCTTGGTCTTCATTGGAATTAGACGTGGGGGTTTGATGTATTGTTCTCTCTCTCTCTCTCTCTCTCTCTCTCTCTCTCCTGTTCTTTGACTTCTTTCATTGGTGATTCTCATCACCCTTTGGATTGTACTCCCTTTATCTTTTAATGAATTTTATTTTTATTTACTTACAAAAAAAACTCCTCATTGTTGGGCAAGGCACTGCAGCGTTTCCCTGTCGATACAGGCAAATTATGACATGATGTGATTAAAAGCATAGTGGCTGTGCAGAAGACCTTTATTGAATAGTGAAGTGGAAGAGTGTATTTTGCTGTTAAGCAGGTAGAGAAGTTGAAGATCTCAAGCTACTGAAAGGGATGAACATTGGTGGAAGGAATGCAAATGCAGGAGATTCACAATGGAATCATATCTTTTGGCTTTAACTAAAAATCCAGTTGGAGTCTGTCTCTTTAAAAGGAATTTGGGGTGTTCCTATTCCTCCAAGGCTACATGTGCTTTGATGATGAGGAGAATGTGAGTCATTTGTTCATATCCTATAGGGCGACTGATTTTATTTGTTGTTTCTTTTCTTCTCCCTTTGGATTAAGGTGTTTCTAGCCAAGGATTCCAGGTGATTTTATTTGGAAGAAATAGTCTTTTTTGCTTGTTATCCATATTGAAAAACTGAATGTTTTGTGGCTTGATTTTATGTGGTAGTTGGTAATTAGATGAACTTAAATGCAAGGGACCTAGATAGACTCTTTTTCCTTGACTTATTTGTTTCCTTGTTCTGATTTCAAGAAAAATGAACCATAGGCACAACATTTTCATTTATGCTTTGTTTTCAAATTAAAACATCATTTTATTGTCATATATTCTCATGGTCGAAGAATTGTTTTGTACAGTAAAGAGAAAACTGGCATAGATCGATTTTCACTACGACAAGCTGTAATTTTTCTCTGTGCAACAAATAGACCAGATGAACTAGACCTGGAGTTTGTCCGTCCTGGGCGTATTGATCGTCGTCTATATATTGGTTTACCTGATGCCAAGCAGCGGGTGCAAATTTTTGGTGTACATAGTGCTGGAAAACAATTTTCTGAGGATGTGGACTTTGGGAAGGTTAGTTATGGTTGTTGTTTTACAATTTAAATTTAGCCTCAGTAATGTGCTTGTCAAGAATGTGATTCTAATTTTTGGTGTCATTTATTTTAGGGGCCTGATTTGGTTCATTCTGTTTTTTTATCCTAGTGAATAGACAATATCTATGTTTATAATCACAAAATCCAAAAAGACAATTCTTTTTTTTTGTCATTTCAAATATATACTTCCTAAGGATTAGGGATGTGCCCCATCATAAAGAAATAGTTGTTCCTGAATCACCCCTTATTTTAACTTAGTTCAACTAAGCAAAGCCTCATCTCAACTATGCATGGTCCACCACACGAGTTCTTCATCATTTCACCTTATCATTCTATCAATGGCTATAACCTGGTTAAGCAATGGACCCTCGACTCATTTAGCACTATCACAACTGATGTTCTTTTTGGCCTTCCTCTTTAGACCCTTTAACATTCATTAGATTACTTTCACTGGTACAGTAGGTGGTCTTTCATTTACATGTTGAAACTATGAACTATCTTATTCTGTTTTCCTCATTTTCTCTCTTATTGGGGCCACTCCTAAGTTCCCACAGTGTGCACATTTAAAATCCTGTCCTTTCTAGTCTTTTCACCTATCCATCTAAGCATCTTCATCTTCAGAACACTCAACTTAGCTCAGCTTTAATCCCAACTATCTGGAGTCAGCTATAGAAATCTTGTCCCTCCATTTTGTTCTATCAATAACCATGTTTTCTGTCAAGTTGTCTTTAAATCATTTTGTACTGCTTTAGACCAAATTTCTTTGGTCTTTCTCTTGTTCTTTTACAGCCTTTTCCTTCCACCATTTTATTCCTCCTTGGTGCAGTCATTTTTCATATATGTACTTGATCATACTATCTCAGTTGGCTTCCCTGGTCTTGTCACTAATTGGAACTATTCCTTAGTCATCTCTAATGCACTCATTTATGATTCTGTCCTTTCTAGAGTAGTCAAGTCTAATTGGTGCTGCTAGTTGGTTGAAGCAAAGATACAATGGGAGATTGGAGTAAATCAGTGATGGTTGAAGCAAAGAATTTTTTGTTCAAAGAGCTAAGATACAATGGGAGATTGGCCTTGAAGATTTTCTTTTTGATCAGCAGCAGAAATTATTTTATTAGATTTAAAGAAAGCTGTAGCAGTACAATATGATGACAAGGATGTCATCCCCAAGAGCTTATCAAGTTACAGTTACAAAGAAATCCTATAAAGGATTATAAGTTCCCAGCACCCCAAAATACATCAGATTACAATTTAGCCCAAAACAAGCCATCTCTATCAGCTCCTTGCTTTGTCAATACATCTGCCATTCCATTTGCATATCTTATCCACCCAAAAGTGGAATTGGATCTCTTTGCCAAGGTGTCGATCTCCCTAAAAGCATGTCTGTATTTCCCTTGCTCCAAATTGTACAGCAAGCCTTAATCCATGTAAGAGAGTCATCTTTTCAGCTTGTACTGAATCTCCAAAGCCAATTGGTCCTGAAAATAATGCCATGACTACTCCTTTGTGGTTTCTAAAAACACCTATTCCTGCCCTTCCTGGATTACCCGATGAGCTACCATCAAGGTTAAGCTTCAGTTTGTTAAAAGATGGAGGTTCCCAAACTATTCTTACACTTTTTGCAGGTCTAACTGTTTGTGCCACTTAAGTCCAGGATCTTATTATGTCATTTGTTGAGAATTCTCAAAAGAGATTCAAAGTTTTTACCCAATGTGCTGTTCTTACTGTTACGGCTTCAAACAGTTCCTCCTTTGATTTGCTCATCTCATTAAAGATTCTCAGATTTCTTTCTTCCCATACAGTCTAGATCAGCACTGCTCTTGCTGTCCTCCACATAACTCTTTCTCTCTTCTTCTGTTACCTTAAGAAACTGAAATTGAATAGGCCTACTGCATCTTGTGGCAGATCCCATTTGCAACCAAAGTGAGAACAAATGTATTTCCATATACAAGACACAAAAGGGAAGGTAACAAGTAAATGAGAAAGGGTTTCATCACTTTTCTTGCAAGGGATAAACACATGTTGAGAAAGGCATTTGTTTGGCTTTCTTTTCTGTAGCAAGTCATAGGTGTTGATCTTCCCAATGAGCACTTCCCAACACAAAGCTTGTACTTTAGGAGGAATAGGTTTGCACCAGATTTCTTTAACCGGGAAATTTTCCCCCAAAGCCTTTGACAAGACAAGATGGTTAAAGAAGGGAGCACAAGAGAAAAGGCCATCAGGTGAAAGGAACCAAATTCTTTTATCTGGATAGTTAGGGTCCAAGAAAACATTTTCTAGCTTTGACAGTAAGAGGTCAAGGGAATCGAGTTTAGAATCTCTCAGACCTCTCCTAAACTCAAAATCCCAATTTATACCAAGTTCTGATGGTAAACCAAATTTTGAGATGGGTTCAGCCTTGTAATTAGATAAAGAAAAAAGTAAGGGAAATTGCTGTTTCAGTGGTAGATCCCCAACCCAAAGATCTTCCCAAAATAGGACCCTCTCCCCATTGCCCACATCAAACCGAAACTGAGGAAGGTTGGTAATACCTCTATTATTGATTCCCAGCCATTTTCTGCCATACCGTGAATGCTTCCAATGACCTTATGCCCATAGTTTTCAAGGCGCCAAGGCGAGGCTAGGCAACAAGGGGGTGCCTAGTCGCCTAGGCGATGGATTTTTTTTACGTGAAAAATACATATCCTAGGTAGTTCCCTAGGTTCCATAACCATCTTTCCTTAATAACTATCCATAATTTTCATAAGAAAATTATAAAATTCATGTTTATGTCTAGAAAATCAACATATTTATGAGAAGAAAAAGAATAAAGAAAAGAAAATTCAAAAAATATGGGGACTGAACCCCTATTTTTGTTATATGAAAAGAAGAAAAGAAAAGGTGGAAGAAGAAGAAGAAATGTGTTGATTAGACAAAACTTTAAGTTTTTCCCTTGCTTATTGGTTCAAATTCTGAAGTCTTTGATGGTTCAATACAGCAGTTAGCAATGTTTGTGTTGATTAAACCCTAACAAATAAGAAAATAATAAAAAGAAATTAGTTTGTAAACACAAAAAATGAATATTTCTGTTTAATAATGTCTATTTTATAATTATAATCTCAAAAAAGTAACAATATAAAAGTATTTTATAAGACACTATACAAAACTGCTAGGCGACTGGGCGAGGCGAGCCTCCAAGGGTGCCTTGTCGCCTAGGCGTCGCCTTGACAACTATGTTTGTGCCACAATCTATCCTCTTTCTAAAGGAAACCTCCAGAACCATTTTCCTAGTAGAGTTGTATTTCTCTTTGTTAGATTCCCTGTTCAAGTCCTCCCAATTCTTTAGGTTTGCATACTTGTTCCCATTTTATAAGATGATGCCTTCTTTCATCCCCTGGTTCCCACAAGCACTCTCTCATAATTTTTTCCTAGTTCTTTGCAATCTTGATCGTTGAAGATTAGGGAAGCAAATCTAAAGTTGGTGCTGCTAGTTGGTACCAAATCTCTAAAATGGTTTGGAAGTTTTCTAGAAGTCGGCTCCTCCAAAAGGAAGAAAGATCTGCAAAGAATGTTGGAGGGACAATGGAAGTATGTTGTGAAAACAAGAAGAATCAAAAAAGGACAATTCATCACTTTACAAGAGTTTATTGACATGGGAAGGATGCAGATGGTTTGTTTTCGAGAAGGTAAGAATGTTCAGGGCTGGAAGTTGACTTATGAAACAGTGCAAGAGATTCTGAACTTATGGCTAGAGGACCCACAACAGGCAAGAGTCTGTGAAAAGAAGCTGGAGATGTTCCCAGTGGCGAGGTTCAGGATCAGATTTAGGGTGGATTTTTGGTTATGAAACAGAATGGTAACTGCAAAATAATGGTGAATTTTGGAAAGGAGGAATGGACTAACGAGCTAATGGTCAAAGCTACAAAAGTTGTTTCGGACCGGAAGAAACTACTTGACATCTTAATTAAGGAATTGAAGCTAAAAGGTATGGTCATTTTAACTCCTTCCGGAAAAAGAAAGTTTACTTGATATAGTGGAGGAGAAAGGTGAAGTTGTAGCGCTAAGCTTCCGCACTGAGTTTGGGGCTCTCACTGCTCTGCAATGAGTGTGATCATTCGGACAACAAATCTCACCCTAAGATAAATGGCCAATTTGGGGGTTGAGGGCAAAAACACACCTGCCAACAAAACTCTACTAGACAAATAAAGAAACTAAACAAAGAAAGGAGAAATCTATCCCAGACAACCATTCCCCACCTTTCAACCCATCAAGCTTGAATTCATGCTTCTCGCCTTCTTATCCCTTCTGCTTTTAATGTGCACCTAGCTGCCTTGGTGACATTGTTGTCAACTCAGGTCTTAGGATGTCTTCTTTCTACACCTCCTTTCAACACTCCCTTACTCCCTTTCATTCCTTTCCTCTAAAGTCTCTTTCCTTTTTCTATTCCTTGCTTCATCCTCTTCCGAGCATTGAACAACAGCCTTTTTTGTGCTGTTCTTAGCAAACAGAAAAGGCCTAAAAATTTTGCCATCTGGATCTCGTGAGGAACTACACTCTCCACAGGGAATGATTTGCTAGGTTGGTGCACTCTGTTTAGCTGAACCTCCTCCCCCTCTCCAAACATTCACTCTCCACATCTTTAATTCTTTGTAACTCTCATAATTTTGATAATACTAACTTAATATAAGAAACCAGAAATTAATGAAAAGTCATAATTTTATTATAAATAGGACTTACGAGAATGATTGTAAATAGTAAGCCTGAAGGTTACTATAAGTAGTATTTATAAAAAAGGTTACTTTAAGTAGTAAATTTCTATAAGTAGTATTTGTGTATCTCAATCAAAGGGATGGAAACTGAAATGAAGAACCTGCTGATTGCAATTGAACAAAGGGAAATTTGGAGGAAAGAGGGAGGGCGAATGTGAGAACAAGGAAGAACTCCAAAGGACTCACAGGAAAGTTTTAAGATTTACCTGGGGTTTAAATGGCACTGAGGGCAGAGTGGAGGAAGGAAGGGGGAGGTAAGTAACAGATAAGCTGAAAAGTTTCCCAAATGAAGCTAATAACCTGGAATGTACATGGACTGTGTTTAGAAAGGAGAAGGGTTTTAATCATCAGAACAGTAAGAGTTTCAGACCTGGAATGTACATGGATGTTGCAATGGTACGAAATGTATGTGGAGATGGGAATGTGTGAAGATTCTTCAAGGCTGTGGATACTGCTGAGGGAATCTTGGTGATTTGAATACTGAATCAATTTAGGTCTCAGGCCATTTTGTGTAGAAATTTTCAATAACCAATAATTTTTTTGAAGATAAAATAAAAATTTAATTAAACAAAATGAAGATACAAGAAAGGTGATAGGCAATCACCAGAGAGTAAACAGCAAACCCAGGATACCAAGAGAAAATACCTCAAACCCCAACAAAAACCTTCCCAAACAACAGCAAAACCCTTGCAAACCAGAAAGGAATAAACAATGTAAATCAAAACAGCAACACTAAGACAAAACCCAGACCCTAAAAACCAAAATTGACATCCACAGAAGACCCACCCCTATCACCCAACCCGCACAAAGGACTCCCAATCAAAAACTCTTCTTATCAGCTTTTTGAGAACATTCTTCTAGTTGCCTTCTATCTGATCTTTTGGGTTTTTTGACGAGCTTTTTAGGCCCAATGCCAAATAAGCCTCCTTTTATCCACGCAAAGACCTTTGATAGCCACATTGGAGAATGCCTTCAAAAGCATTATTACGGGGGTATGTGAGCCTAATGATGATACAAGCAGAAAAATGCTTTAAGGGACTGGATGGGATCAGGTGCAGTTGGCAAATTCCATGGTTCAGGGGGAGATTTCAGCATTTCTTTCTATTTAGAGGAAAAGAAATGTGGCTCCAGAAGGACAGCAGTGATGAATGATTTTTCAGAATTCATTAGCACACATGGACTATTAAATGGGCATCAGGTCAATGCAATCAGAAATTTTCTGGCGAATGGGCATTGGATGGCGGACAAATCTATCCTCAAACAGAATAGTCAAAACTTCTATGAGGATCTCTTTAGGGAAAAATGGAGTAAAATACCCTTGCTGGATGGGTTGCAGTTCTTGACTATCTTGGATGGGCAGAGAGAAGAACTTGAAAAACCTTTTACAGAAGAATTGTGAAGGTATTTTCAAGTTTGGAAGGTTACAAAACTCCTTGGTATCATGGTTTCACAATGCTATTTTATAAATGAAGAAAACTGAAGAGAGGAGAGCTTGAGAGTTCAGCAATGAGGGTCTGAGAATGAGAGTTTCGAACCTACTCTCTCTCAGCACCCTAACATTCTTTTATTAAGATATATTTGAATAATTACAAGGAGGCCCTTAGGTGGGCAAGAATTTACAAAGAACTTAATATAGACAGGATGGGCCCAGATCAAGGCCCATTATAGAAAAGAAACATAAATAACAAGAAAGAATAAACAATCTATGGGCCATTCGGCCCATCTTCTCTACAATAAAAAATCATGGGATTTTGTAAAGAATGATATCATGAAATCACTGGAAGAGTTCCATCAGAATGCCTCTTTGGAATGGAACTTGATTGCTACAATGACCACTCTAATTCCAAAGGAGAGATGTGATGCAGTTAAAGGACTATAGATTGATTAGCCTAATAGGCAACTTCTATAAAGTACTAGCAAAGTTATTGGCTAATCGAATAAGAAAGGTCCTTGCTTCCATAATATCTTCCTCAAATGGGGCTTTTTTGCCAGACTGGTAGTTGTTGGATGGGGTTCTAATTGCAAATGAGGTTATACATTCAGGGCTGAAGAGTGGCAAAGAAGACCGTTATGTAAAGTAGACCTGGAGGTGTACAATCATGTGAGTTGGGATTTCCTGGACCACATATTGACCAGGTGCACTTTGGCAGAAAATGGAGGGATTGGATACGAGTATGTGCCAACTCTAAAATTCTCAGTCCTGTTAAATGGGGAATCAACTGATTTTTTTAGTAGCTCCAGAGAGTTCAGGCAAGGAGAGCCTCTATCACCATTCTTGTTCATTTGTGTGATGGAAGCTCTCTCTCATGATAAGGACAATGGTGGGTGGGGGTAATACAAGGTTTTGAGGTAAGAGAGCAATGTACAATGGTGATCTTATTACAATATGCTGATGACACACCATTCTTTCTTTTTGTTGAACCTGAACGGTTGTTGCATCTTAAAGGAGTGTTAATATGGTTTGAAGTGGTGTCTGGGTTGAAGGTGAATTTGAACAAAAGTGAGATCATTACAGTAGGCAATATGGAAAATATTGAAGAATTTGCAGGCATCCTTGGATGCAAAGTGGGAAAACTCCCTACCACATATTTGGGATTACCCTTGGGGAGCAAATGTTCAGCAAGAAAAACTTTATGGAAAAGAAAAACTGGCAGCTTGGAAGCATGGCTATCTTTCAGCTGGGGCAAAGAAAAACTTTATTGAAAAGCACCTTATCACAACTACTCATGTATTTCTCGTCTTTAGCTGGGGCAAAAAAAAACTTTATGGAAAAGCACCTTATCACAAACTACTCTTGTCTTTATTTCCAATATTAGCTGCAGGTGCAGACAAACTGGAAAAAGTCCAAAAGGATTTCCTTTGGAGAGGGTGACAAGAAGAGACAGGCTCACTTGGTACAGCGGGACCAACTCTGCCTGCCTGAAGCAATTGGGGGGGGGGGGAGGTTAGGAATAAAGAAGTTGAAGGAGATAACTATTTTTCTGATTGCAAAATGGTTTGGAGATTCAGTACTCAGCCTCTGTTCCTTTGGAAATAGATTATCATGGTATTGATGAGGGTTCCTATGGCTGCTTCATCTGCAAAGCCATTGGGAAAATATCATAATAAATTCCTTCCAGGCATCTCTTTGAAGATGGGCAATGGTGAAAGAGTCAGCTTTTGGAGAGATGTATGGTGCAGTAATAAAGCTCTGATGGAGAGATTCCCCTCCCTATTCATACTAGCAGAAAACAGAGATGCTAGAGTGGTCAATGCCTATGAGACCCAAGATGGACTGGTGTCGTGGGTCCCTTCTCTAAGAAGGAACCCAAATGATTGGGAGATAAATCAGCTGGCTTCCCTACTCAGTTTGCTTAACAGAAATTATTGAAAGCCAGATCAGGTGGATGCTAGATACTGGAGGTAGGAACAATCAGGAAATTCCTTCAAAGAGGTCTCAGGATTCAAACTTCCCTCTCAAAGAGGTCTCATTACCTCGGATTCCTTCAAAGGTAGCTTTTCTGATGTGATCTGTAGTTCTAGACAGATGTCTCACAAGTCACAAGAAACAATCTACTTAGAAGGGGCATAACCATTCAATCTGATTCCTTTGTCTGTGTGAAGCTGACAGAGAAACCACAAAACATCTGTTCCTGCAATGTTCAATAGTAAGAGAAATATACTCTAACTTTTGCAGACTGTTTAATCTCTCCTGCTCTTTCTTGGAGGGGGTGGCGACCATTTGAGTGCCCAGAAATATTTAGAAAGATGTTCAGCAAAGGAAGGGAAATACTTAGAAAGATCCTGGGTATCATCCATTCTTGGTTGGCAGCAACAAATATTTTTAGAGATGTTCCACATCAAAACTAGCAGGAGATCTGCAGTTTATTTTGTATAGTGGCTCACTGTACCTGATCATATTTGTACATCTTTATGGCAGTTAAATCTATACAATACAATACTTTACATCTTTCTCAAAAAAAAAAAAATCTAGAAGATTGAAACCTCACTCTCTGATGAGTAAATGGAACTCAGCTTGGCTCCCCAGAGAGCACACCCCACACATTCCCCACATGGACATCTCTGCGTGCATTGGGAACATCTCCCATACTTGTCACGGGGAGGTTCTAATGCACGGTTGAGATGTGCTGTGGAGCGCACGTGAGGTCCATGTGAACCAACATGAACCAAACTTGACACAAAGGTCTACTACTGTGGACAACACAGCTAGTTGGGTCTATTGGTCAACCACTACTGTGGACAACACAAAAGAACAAGACAAAAAGAATCCCAATCATTTTTGGTGGTTTCATTTCTTGCTTCCATGTTTTCATCCACATTGTAACAATAGTTGCATGTTTTATTGTGATTGTTTCCATACAAGTGGAAGATACTGCACATCTCAATATATTTAAATTGACAGCTAGTGTTTCCAGTAGATTCTTTACTAAGAAAATTTTGCAAAAAATAACATTAGAAATTTATTTTATTTGTCATGTGTTAAAACTGGAAATGATCCATAATTCTTAGTCATATTTTGTTTTTTACTATCAAGGTCTCAGTATGTGCTAAAATTTTTCTTGATTAATGACAACTTTGACATTTTTTTTTTGCTTTTTTTTTACTTCTTAATTATACAGCTTGTTTTCCGTACTGTTGGTTATTCTGGGGCAGATATTCGAAATCTTGTTAATGAAGCAGGAATAATGTCTGTAAGTTTATCATTTCTGTATTCTTTAGTTTAGAATGTTTAGTCTCAAGAAATGCTTTCTCTATAGATCTCATGGGGGCACTAAGAGTTTGAAATATTGATTTTGATGTATGTCATCTTTGATGCATTTTTTTTTTCACGGATGCACTTGAAAGTACTTAGCCACACTGGTGGAGTTAAGGTGATAAAGAAAAGTGTGCTGACCAAACACACATGAACAAAATTCCTTTACTGCTTAAATGACTACAGGTAATGTATAGTACGTGTCGATACATGTTTGGTGAATGATAAAATAACCTGGAGTTGGTTATTTAAAATCAAAGAGCGTTTGAAAGAGTTATATCGAGTTAGAGAACTTAACCTTGTCTGTCATAAAACAAACCCTATTCTCTAAGTTTTTTCTTCTGGTCTTTTAATCAATAATTATAATTCTTTATTATCTTATGCAATTTTTAAATTAAAATAACAAATTTCCATCATTATGTTTCTAAAAAGTTCTTGTGTGTCCATGGAATCAATAGACTTGTTATGAATCTTGTGATATAATTAAATTGCCAAGCAAGGTAAACATTTGCTATGATTTTCCATTTATTCTCTATATTTGTTAATTTTTTGCGAATATTGCCTTATGTATCTAGGTTATAGACATGGTTGTCAAGGCAGTAAGCTCAACCTAGGTGTTAGGGAAACGCCTGGTTGTCAACTGACCTAGGCATTGCCTGTTTTTTTTTGTTATTTTTTATTTTTTGGCTTCATGGGGCTACACAAGGGGGAGGGGGTAGCCCATTCCTCAAACCCAAAGCAGGCAGGATTTGATCCCAAGTCTCTGCTAAAACCAGCCAGATACCTTCCAACCAACAAGTTGGCACCTTGCAGGTATGGCCTGGGTGTTGAGTTTGAAAAGTAAAAGACCTGAGTCTTAGATTAGGGGTATTTTGGCCTTACCATAAATGTTAAGAGGCACAAGATTAGGGGTATTTTGGTCTTTCCCTTTTTGTAAGTAAAAAATTTTTTTAAGAGAAAAAAATGAATACAAGGAATGTGATAAGAAATCACCCAAAAGGAGAAAAAAGAAAATAAACATCCCAACATACAACCCAAACTTTCCAAACCTTCTAGTAATCTCCAAAACAAACTCCAAAAGAACACACTAAACCAATGCAAAAGAAGACTAAACCCAACCAACCCAACACCTATGACACCAAACCCTAAGCAAATTATCAAGCCCTTACAACAAAAGACCACCAAGCTCCAACTTAACACCAATGAAAACTTGCCTATTAGTAGCTTAAACTGGAACCTCTTTACTCCTTTTAAAACCTCTTTTTGATTTCATCACCATTTTGTTAGGCATAACCCCAAATAAACCCCCTTTCAACCTAGCAAAAACTTTTGAAACCTGATGAATGATTCTTCTGCCTTCTGAGACATCTTACAGCTTTAGAAGGTTTCTCAAGATCCTTCATCTCCTTTGTACTGACGTTTATCCTTTCTAACGCTGAATAACATTCTTCGTAAAGAGTTATTTTGCAGTAACCTCTTCTCCCTCCCTGTCAACCTCCCTTGCAGCTCTGAAAGAGCTTAAACTATCTACAGAATCTTTTGCCCTAAAATTAGAACCCTCCACTTCACGAGCCACTAACTCTTCTTTATCTTTCTCCCAGATTTTCTCCTCCATATCTTTTTCTTTCAACTCATTAAAAATCTTTTTTCACAAATTCTTCCCCACCCAAGAAAAATAAACCCAAGGGTTTCTGACTTTGACCTCTGCATTTACAACAGTCTCTGAGTCAACAGTGCCATGAACTTGATAAGTTTCTTTTGGAAGTTAATCTTCAGCTCCTCCCTCATCTTCACTGTCTGCACTATCAACAAAAGGCCACATTCTAAAATTCTTTTTTTTTTTTTTTAATAAACTCGTGTAGAAGCACATTCCTGGCTTCCTTCTTAATCACCATTTACCAACAACCCACCTTCTTTATTGTCAGCAATCCCTCCCATCTCAACTCTATTTTGAACAACCTTAGCACCAGCTTCCACATTTGTAACAGGCTAACAGCAACTTCCACATTTCTATCAGAAAAAAAAAACAGCAACTTCTACATCAACTAATGCAGTACACCCCATGCAGTTAATTGAGACTCTAACATCAATTGTATTCTGCAACTGGACATTACCCAAATAACCAATTTTCAATTCCGAAAGCTACCCCTTCCTTTTGTCCTAAATGATTCCTTCCCGCATATCCCCTGCATGAGGCCCACGTTCAAAAATTTCAAATGCTTTTGTACCTTCATCTTCACTACCTTCTAACCTCTCAACAAACTCCAATCTTTGTTTGAATCAATGCATGTCTTCATTTCCAATCCCTTTATGTTCATTTGAATCTTAAAACCCTGACCAAAACAAGCTCTTCACCTTTATCCTGAACTGATGAAATTTGCTCTTCACTTACCAGCAAATCAACATCAGATCTGTCAATCACAGCCACACCCTACTTCTGGCAAGCCACTGGAACCATCCAAAAGCATCTTTTTTTTTGAATTCCACACTTTAGAAATTTGAGGTTCCTCCACCCTGGTCATTTGCCTCTTCTTTCCTACAACAATCTCCATTGAGCAACCATTACCAATCTTACTGTGTCTAGGGCAAAAACATACCTTTACTTTGTGACTGCTTTCTTTTTCTATGAACTTCCTTCTTTTCTTTTCTGACAGAAATCTCTGCTTCAGGCACTTATTTTTATGTTATAATAGTTACTTAGGTTCTGCCACACTTTGTTAAGGGCATGATGGTCTTTTTATTGTAGTCTAAAACCTATATATAAGTGGCTGTTGACTGGTGGGGAAATTATTCTATTCTCTCTTATCTGTTTTTTCCATTTCTCTCACCCTTCTTTCTTCTCTTGTACAGAACAAATAGCAATAACATTTGCAAAATATCAAAGCACTTTTGAAGATCTGCAGTCACTCCTAGAGTGGTCCTAGAAAACCCAGCTGGATACCTGGATTTAGAAGAAATATGCATGACTGGGAAGTTCTAATGCAAAAATGGCTGTTTCTCACACATGTCAACACATGTCAGAATGTTCAAGAATTCTTAACCTAATAAATAAAAACATTCTCACATGTGAGAGTATTACACTCTCACAAACTTATTCTTTAATTCATGGAAATGAGAGCAAAAGGCATGTGACTATAAGAAGGTGGGTAAGAAAGAACTGGTATGTGACTAAGAAGCCCACATATACCATAGGAACATGTTTGAAGCTTCATCCTAATCTGGTGCCTGTTTGTCTGAGAAATATAGAGGGATATGCAAATTGCAAATATTACAGTTACATAGGACTCCATTGGATCTCTATTTTACCCTCACAGACACTTGCAACAACCAAAGTAGAGATGTAAAGGAGAGCATACGTCAACTAGAGAGTAATGTTGGGGGTTCCTCTACAGTTTTTAGCCTTTTGAATCTTTTTGGTACAGGAGAGCATACTTAGCCATTGCTTGCATAGGTATTCGAGCTACTACAAAGCATGCTTCCATGTCAAGTAATAAGGTTCCTCCTTGAATTTTATATTCTGTGGCACCTGATCACATTACCAGTATTCTCTTGTTCTCATCTTATTAGTAATGTTTTGGTAGGGAGGGTTTCTATTACTGATGATTCCCTTGCCTTTACATTTGGTGGAAGAAATGTTAGTCTCTAATGCTATTACTTTATCATTTGTCCTCTATGTTCCCAAGTTAATTATAACCTTCTTGCTGCTAGTAGTCTGCCTAAGAGTTTGAACTGATTAGTGACCTTTTTCTTCTCTAACTAGTGTGTTCATTTTTTGGATTTGGCATCAAAGGAGATGCTTGAGAGTGGTCATTAGGCGAATGACATCTAGCTTTAGGTTTTGACACCTAGTAATCTTAAGTCATCAAGTAGCTAGTAGTAGTGTTTGGTCAAAATCTTTGTCAGATTATGCTTTGGCATAACCAATTAAGTCATTTTTTTTCTTTAGTGTTGGAGTGTAATAGCTGTCACTTGCTAAGCATTGTAGACCAGTGTTTTAAAAGGTGTGGGAGGCGTACGCCTGGAGATGCGGCGCTCCCAAAACGCCCTGAGGCATATGCCAGAGGCGTTGACACCTCTGAGGTGTACACCTCATGCGCTTTTTTCATGAGGTGTGCTAGCAGCGTACACCTCATGCGCCTCATGCACATCTTATATAAAAAGACAGAAAAAAAAAAGAAAAAAGAAAAAAAGGAAAGGAAAGGAAAGGAAAAGAAAAGAAAAGAAAGGGAAGGGAAAGAAAAAGTAAGAGAAGAAAAAAATAGAAAAGGAAAGAAAAGAAAAGGAAAGGGAAGAGAAGAAAAGATAAGGGGAAAGCAAGTGGTTTGCCCCTTCTAGGTAGTGGAACGCCTCGCGTCACACCTCTGCGTTTTTAAACATTGTTGTAGACATTCTTTTTAAGTAATAAAAAATGCATCCTTGTTTGATATTGTTCATATTTGAAGTGTGGAGGCCCTATTATATCATACTATGAGGGGTTACAAATATTTCCTTCTATTTGTTGGTGACCATTCTTGTTTTTCTTGGTTATTTTTAATGCATTCCCCTAGTGATGTTCCTGAACTTATTTACCAAATTTATCAGTTGATTTTACTTACTTTGGAGTGGAAGTCAAAGTTTTATGATCTAATAATAATCGGGAATATTTTGAGAAATCTTTAGCGTCTTCTCTTTTGGAGCATGGGGTGATTCACCAAAGTGATTGTACTTATCAATGTTTTATTACAATGAGGCATACACGAGGCATTCCACTACCTAGAGGCGTGAGGTGTAGTTCGGAATGTAAGAGGCGTAAGCCTCCCTAACACAAGGAGGCATAAGCCTACTTTAAGAAGAGGGGGAGGAGGAAGAAGAGGAAGGAGGATCCCATTTTTTGTTATTTTTGATAAAAATCTTATATATTAATAAGAATGAAAATGCATGACACTAGCTGAAAGGGGG